GTATGAATGTGTGTTTCAGCTCTCTAACACAGCAGACCTCCCCACCAGACTGGAGAAACGAATCATTAAGACCAATGCAGGTAAGAATTAAGTCTAACTGAAGGAGAAAATCATTTCATTTTGTGAAATGATTAAGTATTTTTAATGCAGGATCTAAAGTCTTAACAGCTTAAAGTGTGAGCTCTGCATCACATTAAAACTGTTAAAATGGCCCAAATGGATCAATATTTCCACTTAATACATTTGGATTTAAAGAATAGTTTAACTACATTTATAACTTAATTTATTCATTTTTCTTGTATTCAGACACAGTTTGAATAAAGCTCTCAGTTTCTGTAATTATATTCAGATAAACCATTAAAATACAGATTAACGTCATGAAAACACACAGAACAAAACAGGCCTCAGTGTTAATAGCTTTTATCTCATCTTTGGTTGTTTGATGCAGGCAGTAACGTTGCCATGGTGATCGGCATCATTGTTGCCGCTGCTTTTCTCCTCGTCATCGCTGTGATCGGATTCATTCTTTACAGAAAGAAGGACGGTGAGAGACAAACACATTTTTCTGTCCTTTCTCAGTGTTTTGACTCAAGAGTTTGAGTTCAAATAAAACAATTTAGTTCAAATTAAATTATGTAAAACATTATGTGTATGAAAATGTCTGAACAGTATTAAAGAGTTTCTTCTTTTTATTTCAGCCAAGCGCCCTCCATCTCGTAAGTAAAACATTTGTTTCATCCGTCCTCTGAAAAGAAAATACATATTCCATATTTTCTGATGAGTAGCTTTTTTAGGACTGTTTCTGTGAGTTTTTTGTAAAAGATTCAGGATGTTTTTAACTCTGTTCTGACCTTCCAGCTGTAGAAAATGCTGAGGTTCAGGAGCAAATGATCCCAAAGGCCTGAAAAACAACCAGCTGTGATCACGGTGAGTTCATTTATGTGTTAAACAAAGCAGACAGAGGTTAGAAAAGATAATGATTATTCACTGTTTCACTTTTGTCAGGTTTAGAAGAAGTTAAATTGTTTAATTTTCACATAACAGATTAAACTAATGCATGAGGATTGTTATTTATTTTTACATTGGCATTAAACTAATAAAGCTAGCAGAATAATACATAAAATGGTTTAGCTGAAATCTTGTTGGTTTGGGATAAAAAAAAATGTACATGCAGACTTTCATAGCTATTGTATGTGGTTTTCCAGATCATAAATTAAACTTTTTATTAACTTTCCATCTCAGTTTTATGTGATTTAAAAAAATATTTTTGTGTCTCCAGGTTTTTGGATGAAGTTGCACTAAATTAAAGACTTCACCGGTATCTTCTCCATAAATCATGAATTCATTTGTTTTTTACCTTTGAGTGGAGTAAAACTTAAATGATGCTAGAAATGTTTATCTAGAGAAAATCATGGGAATTGAAATTTTTTAATAGTAAATGTGCTAAAAAATATTCAAAATAATGAAAACATCCCAATATATATATTAAATAAGGACTAATCTGCAGATTATTGTGTTTGTGTAATTGTATCACGAATGCAACATGTGTATGGATTTTTGTTTCTGGTTTTGGGGTTTTCTTGTTTATCAGTAAATAATCATTAATGACACCTAAGCACACACACCTATGCAAACACACGCACAACCTAAATTCCTACATGCATCTGGATTGTCATGAATATAAAGTGAAGATTCTATTAGAATGAAGATATCAACCATAAACACAAAGCTCAGTTTTCAGACAACATTCAGTGGAACCGGTTTGTCTGTTTTATCCTGATAATAAAACCTGTTTAATGAGCTGAAATAGATGAAAATTAATGGAAGTTTATGGAAATTTGTATTAATTTCTCAATACCAAAAAGAAATCAATTTACTGATTGGTTAAAGGTCCCCCAAAAAAAATATTTACACAGAAAATGAATAGGAAATGTAAAAGATTCTGCTCATCTACACACATTATAATTCTGAAGATTGGCTCAAATCGGTGTACATATTTTGCTTTTGTGTTTTATTTATGTAAAACTTCTGTTTTGTTTTTGATTAGTTAGTTTAATTGAAGTTCTATTTTAAGTAACGTTAAAGTAGAAGTGTTTTAATCTTTGATTCAGTGGGGAAACAGTTTGTTTGGGTTTTTTTTGCTTTTCTTTGAGTGTTTTTATTAAAATAATTTGGTTCGAGACTTTTTGCTTTATAGAATTTTAGCATTTTGACTCACCTGTTGATTTTAATGGAAAAATGTCACTTATGTTTTATTGTTCTTTTCTTCAGGTTGTAGGCTTTCTTGCTTTTGAATAAAGTCTCCAATAATCCAACCTTCTGTGTCTGGTCATAATTTCTAATCCAACTCAATGTTTAAATTTACTGCTTTACAAACATTTACTGCTATCACAGATTCAATCAACTAGGGATATCCAGCTTACTGGCCTATCAAAGCATGTATTAAAGTTTAAAGTTATTTAGCCTACTTATTTAGTTTATGACCGACTCATATTGAACAGGGATTTACTCTTTTTTTTTTTTTTTTTTTCTTTTTTTTTTAATTGATTTTCATAACTTTATATAAACATCAACAAAATTAAACAAAGACAACCCACCCCAAAACAACACGGAGCACTGCAAAGTCCACCTAAAAAAAATAAAAACATACATGCATACAGCCCACATACACAAAATACAGCAGTCATGATTCAAAATTATCACAACTGTCAGACAGTCAAATGAGTGATATATTGAATATATTGAGAAAAAAAAAGATAAAAATAAAATAAAAAAAGAAGAACAATTTTTACAGCCTCTGTAAAAAAGATTGCAGTGGGGCCCAAATCCTCCAAAATTTGTCCGACTTTTGATGAAGGTCATGAGTAAGTTTTTCAACTGAGACAATAGCAGAAATCTGCGATATCCACATATCAACTGTAGGGGCCTGTGGTGCTGACCATCTCAATAATATACATTTCTTGGCCAGAAATAAAAGGATTGCAACCAGATGTTTAGTGTCTGCATTAAGTAGAGTGTCTGAAGCATGGTTAAAGAGATAGAAGGAAGGAGTTAGAGAGAACTGTTTACCAACAATCTCTTGTATCATGAGATGAACTCTTTTCCAGAAAGTTTGAATATAATTGCAAGACCAAAATAAATGAATAAATGTGCCCCTATGTATTTTGCATTTATGACACATATCTGAAGCATCAGGA